GACTGTAACTTTTTTCCCAAAAGGTTTGTCTTCAAAATAAGGGGTGCGTCTTATATTCCGAAAAATACAGTAGCTTTGAATCATTAAAATTAGGTAATATTGGGCGGTGTTAATAATAAATCAAGAACTCAGGATATTGTATCTGATATATGTTTTTTCTTTATTTTCTATCACACACACTTTGCAACAAATTTAAAGCTGAAATTTAATTACGTTTTATCCTATCAGTTTTATCAAGATGTATAATTTGTTCAAAGTAAACTTGTTTGTAACTGAGTGAATCGTATATTTTTAGAAATATGAATACTGGAATACACTCACAAATAAACAATTACATAAGTTCGCGCGATACGTTAAAATTATATATTTATTATTGCAACTAAAGCATGTACGAGATTCTTATTTAAAAATACAGCATTTTATCATTTATTAATGATAATAGTTTCCAACAAGATTCATCCAGTAAATTCATACAATTAAATTATTTAATGCGTTAAATGCCATCAAGTTAGCTATTTACAGTAGTTTTTCATTGCACACGAGATGGCAGTATAATCGAATAGCTTTAATTGATAAATCCTATATATCTATATCTATCTATCTATATATATTAGACGTTGATTCTCTTAAATTGAATAGCCCTGCCCTCTGGTGGCTAAAAGATAAGTATGAAAGCCCACATTTCTAAAAACCTGGTTTCGATAGCACAGATAGCCCATTATATATAGCTTTGCACTTACCAACCAACCAACAAACAAAACACTTCAATAGAAAAACTAGAGAGGAAGGGATTAAATCTGAAATCAGTTAAAAATTAAATTAGTTTATATAACAAAGTATATAATATTTTAATTGCTCCAAGTTTATCATTTATTTAACACAGATATCCAAAACTGAACTTGATTCTCGTGACTTCTGAGAGCGTTGTAAAATATAAATTCAATCATGTTGTTTCGTTTAAAGAGCCAAAGAAATCATTATGGCGGCGGGCGCTACTGGCTGGCTGTTTTTCCGATGATCAGTACTTAACAATTAGGTACGGCTATACTTGAACCCAAAGAGCTCTCTGACCTGGCCCTTTAGCTCAATCATGTGCGCATAAAGAGTCTATCATTCAGAATGAAAGCTCTATAAGGTAAGTTATAAATATTAAAACTTGGAGGGTTTTGAAGAAGGTAAGGTGTAATGGTTTCTGCCAAAGAGTTTCTTGTTTCATAGAAAGGGTATAATAAGGTTTAATGATAATAATAACAATAATGAAATTTCGGAGTGTACATTACTCCTTCCCATTTACCAATTGATAGAAAAGAGAAAACTAACACTTTGGAAAACATGGAAATTTTAAACTGATCCTTAATTTGTTGATTCATCTGTTATATGGCATGGCAAACTTCACATAAGTGTTATATTAGTGTGATAGGCATACATCATTGTGTCGACAGATGGCGATAAAATAATTATTTTCATTTCTACTAATTTATGAGTATCTTTTGTAAAATTAATCATATGATGTACACATAGTGTTAAAACATAGAGTTAAAAGTTTTTGTTGAACTTTTCGCAATGATAATCGAGGGCTATCTGCGCTAGCCGTCTTTAATTTAGAAGTGATAAATTAGAAGAAAGTCAACACCGCCAACTCTTGGACTACTCTTTACCAGCACAGAATAGGATTGACTGTCACGTTATAATGCATGCCCCCACGGCTGAAAAAGCGATCGTGTTTGAGGACGGAATTTAACACGTGACCCTCAGATTGCAAATCGAATGCCAGGCCGAATATTAAAAGAAATAGGCATAATATTTAAAGAAGAATTGAGAGTAAGAAAAATCAGTTTGAAGACAAGATCGACGAAGGTAGTGGAGATGTAAGAGCGGTTACGACAACACGAATGAAGAAGTACAGAAGGGGTGTAATGACAAAATTGGAGGAGTACAAAAGGCATTAACAAGGTACAGTTTGTCTGTTTTCAACTAAGAATTACATAAAGAACGTGCATTATTTAGAACGACAACAATATATTAAAAAGTAATTGTAGACATTGATCTTTTTAAACAGCTGTTATTAAATGTTAAGCACATTAGAAAATAATCATTATCTACTACAGCATTGCCATCTGTGGACCATTATTGACAATTCTGATTAGGAGACTAACGGACTTGGTTTTACACATTTATCACCAATTTATTTATATTGATCTATTAATTAGCAATAATAAAATTTTTATGTTTCTATTGGAGCTAACTTTCTCGATAAAACACGAGAGGCTTAAGATAATTGTATATATATATTTATATATATACGTACAGGGACGACGCTAGGGGGAGGGGTCGTCGGTTGTGAAAGAATCTTCTTTTGGATCATAAATACATTATAGATGGTCGTTGTTGTTTGAAGTTAATCACAAAGCTACACAATGGGCTATCTGTGCTCTGCCCACCACGCGTATCGAAACCCGGTTTCTAGCGTTGTAAGTCCGCTGGCATACCACTGGAGGGCTATAGATGGTCACAAAAAATTAAATATAATGCTCCAAAAATTGTCGAACGTGGCGCTGATAATACATATTTCGTAACTTCTATGTGTTTCTTCAGTCTAACACGAACCTTGCTCCGGACATTAAACTCCTGAGTCCTAGCACGGCCTAGTGGTTAGAATAGTGAACTCGCAATATGAGGGTCGGATATTCGAATCCCGTCTTCAAACATGCTCGCCTTTTCCGCCGTGGGGGAGTTATAATATAACTGTCAATCTCACTATGCGTTGGTAAAAAGTAGCCCAAGAGTTAGCAGTGAATGGTGTACTGACAAGCTAGCTGTATTTTCTCTAGTCTGTCACATCGTTATCACGGATGGCCAGTGCAGGAAGTCCTTCAGTAGTTTTGTGTGAAATTCTAAATAAACAAACTAACAAAATAATTAGACTCCAATATACTATGAGTGAAAGTGTTTTGAGTTTCCTAATATTTTCGTCGAGCTAAAAAAAAAACCGATTGAAAAATCCGAAATGTTTTAATTACCAAGCATTAAATGACCTTTTCTATTTTTTGTTTTCATTGTTTACCTAATAAGATATGTATTCGTTTTACTTTTCACCAACGTTTGCAATTTTTCTAAGACTCTCTGTTAAAAATCATTTGTATGTTTACTAACCGGTAACATCAGATTCTAGTTTAGTTAGACATTTGTATGTTTACTAACGGGTAACATCAGGTTCTAGTTTAGTAAGACATTTGTATGTTTACTAATCGGTAACATCAGATTCTAGTTTAGTAAGACATTTGTATGTTTACTAATCGGTAACATCAGGTTCTAGTTTAGTAAGAAATTAGTAAACATACAAATGTCTTACTAAACTAGAATCTGATGTTACCCGTTAGTAAACATACAAATGTCTTACTAAACTAGAATCTGATGTTACCCGTTAGTAAACATACAAATGGGGTAACATCAGATTCTAGTTTAGTAAGACATTTGTATGTTTACTAATCGGGAACATTAGATTCTAGTTTAGTAAGACATTTGTATGTTTACTAACAGGTAACAGTTGGATGTCATTTGGGGAAAATGTCTGTACGTGCTATTGCGCAACAATT